TTAGGTTGGCTGACACCAACACTGGTCGAAGCTTTGGGGCCTCCCTGAAAAAAGGCACTTGGTGCCTTTTTTCGCTCTTGTCTGGGGGACGGACCGTGGCCACTAGGTCCTGGAGTTCGACCTGTGTGCTTACAGATACCGTCGGCGGTGCCTTCCCCCTTCGCACCGCTTCAGCGTAAGTGCCCTTTTGGGCAAGAACCACTCGCTTGCGCGCTTCTGGATACGGTATGTTTTCTTTGGTTTTCAGTGTAAGTATGTCTTTTTCTTTTTGCCATTCTGGGCAGGAGCGTGAGTACGCTGCATGGGGCCCCTTGCAATTCACACAGTTTAAAGGGTTGGTGCACTCGCCATCATCATGTTCATTCTGGCCGCATTTCATGCAGGTTGGACTACCACGACATGAATGAGACCCGTGCCCAAACCTCTGGCACCGGAAGCACCTGCGAGGATTAGGTATGTAGGGCCTCACACGTAGGTAAAGGTACGCTACCTTAACTGCAGCAGTAAGTGTCGTGCTTGTGAATGTTAGTATTACATTCCTTGTGCGGGTTTCCTTCTTATCTCTACGAATGATGATTGCTCGTGCGGCAAGTACACCTTGATCCGCTAAAGCATCCTCAATTTCTGCGTCAGTGCACTTGAGCAGTTCATTGTCCGATATTACACCTTGCGCGTAATTGAGAGATCGGTGAGCTGTTACACGGACTTCATGTAGTCCGATTTTTCCAAGGTGTCCAAATTTGTCACTTTGTTCTTTGTTTTTCACTTCTATGAGGCGATCTCCTGAATTCATTTTTTTTGCACTGTAATTGCTTCCAATGCATTCTTTGATTGCTTTTGCAATCGGGAATGGTGATATGTCCTGAATCTTAGTTTCAGCCAATGACGTTACTACAAAGAATTTCGTGTAATCGCTCTCTTTAGTCAGAAGATTTCTATTTGCTTCGGTGCGACCCCTTTTACGGAACCGATCATTGTGGAAAGGGGGGTACTTTTTTCCATAGAAAAGCATGTTTATTCGGTAGCTATGCTGGCCACCCACCATGGAGTCCAACAAAAGGAACGTATACACACGTTAGCCATACATTGCTACTATAACCCTGTGGTCCTGACCAAGGGAGGTCAGTCCCCCAGGGTTAACCCTAGCCGCCAAGAAATTTGGAAGTAAACGAAAAAGAGAAGACGACAGGACAGGTAAGAAGTGACCAATAAAGACGAAGATGTAGGGAGAGAGAAATAGGAAAAGGCGACTGCAGATTTCCCCTGGGTTGGTCAGCCCAGGGGCGCCGTCTACGTGAAGCCGGGGCCAAAGGGGTGCGTTGCCTCAGCCGGGCGGCCTTAAAGGTTCAATTACCCAGCGTCGGCTCAACCCCCAGGATCCCCTTTTCCCCGGACTCGGCAAAGCCATGCACGGCTAGGCGTGGGAGGGAACCAAAACTCCCCCATTAGCTCGGGTCCATGGTGTCGTTACACACCAAATGCCTACTTGCACAGGCGCCCCTGCGAGAGCTGTAGAAGAAATATGCTTTAACAGAGTGTGACCTTGGGCGAGTTGGTGCATAGCTTAATAAAATGATGGTGGCGCAACAACTGCTAGCAAGAAAAAAAAAAGAAGGAGACCGGATAGAACGTCAGACATAGGGTGGTGTTTACTTGAAGACATGAGGAGGTAGGAAAGGGCCCGCTGTGAAAGAAATATGCTTTAGCAGAGTGTGACTTTGGGCGAGTTGGTGCCGAGCTTAATAAAATGATGGTGGCGCAACAGATACTAGCAAGGAAAAAAGAAGGAGACAGGATAGAGCACCAGACATAGGGTGGTGTTTACTTGAAGACATGAGGGGGTCAGAAAGGGCCCGTTGTAGAAGAAATATGCTTTAGCACAGTGTGACTTCGGGCGAGTTGGTGTAGAGGTTAACTAAATGATGCGTGTCACCTTCTGTGCGTCAAGAGATGCAATGAAATGCTGCTTGTTCACTTGAGTTTGATTAATGAAAAAAGAACCGCCAGATTTTACCATGAGAAATGGCACGAGTGGTTCAAAAATTCCGTTTTTGCTTCGTTAATTTAGGTTGAGCCAATCAATGGGGCCCAGTTGAATGAAAACACGTTTGCCATCTCAGAGCCAATGAAAGGAAATCGATCAATATCCGTTGTTGCTGCTATGGCTTCAATGCTTTCGTTCTGCGGCTATTAGTTGTGCAGCGTTGTGCACGGCAACAGTGACAGATGGTTCGTTTCTTGAGGGCACTAATTTGAAGTGCCTGATGTGGACTACTGAAACGCGATTTTCTTTCAAAATAGTCCTTCCTAGGGCCAAAAATAACACTACGAGGTTTCTGGACTGCTATTTTCAACAATCAACATCAACTAGTCCCCTTTAGTGTCCCTTTAATAAAAGGCTGTCTCCACAGATTTGCAGAAAAATCGAGATAGGGAATTAGCACACAGCACTCAAACTTTTCTCATGTCACTGCTTGTGCCGGTTATTAGCCCTACCGCATTGATTTCTCGAGGCGCAAGTGGATATGTTGTTCCAGTGTGACATGATGCGTTATTGGTACCACTTTGGTTTGAGGCACGCTGACGAACTGAACTTTTCTTTCTTTCTGCTTTCAATATTGTTTCGAGTAATGTTGCCTATTTAAAGGCAGCATATCCTTCAGTCGAGCGATGGGAGGAGCCGCTGGCCAGCCAAAACCTGGACGATCAGCTGAGTCGAGGTTCTCGTTGATGGACCCGGCTTGCTGAGTGGCTGCTGCCGCGGAGCCCAGGTTTGAGCCCACCCCACCACGAAATCCACTGCAGTACTGCAAGTGTAGCGCGTTTTCACCACCACCACTAAAAGCGCTTCAAGAGACACTACTGCATTGAGGCAATTAATACAGCGCCGTAATGATGTAAATACGAGGTGGCCCGTTTTAACAACGTTGCCTTTAATGATGGACCGCGACATAGTGCGCCGTTTGTTCTCTTACTGAAGTGATTGGAGAAGTTTTTATTTGTTTTTTTTTTCTTTACTGCTGCGCGCGGTGACTATGTTCAAGCTCCCTGCAGCTGCTTTCCCTCATCGTAGTATACAATGACACTGTTAGCATGTTCATTGCTGGGTATTCGTTTCATCGGCTCGGTCACACCTTGTGGTTCACCCAAGCCCGCAGCCGCACCAGCCAGCTAGTGCAAATTAAAGCATCCAGACAACCGGTGACAACCACGACTTCGGCGCACTCGCATTTTAATAGCGGAGAACGATACGGGACACATTTCACTCCCGCAAGACAAGCGTCGTGTCAAGATGGGAAGACAGAGAGCACACCACCGTGCGAGTATCTACTGTGTCGTTGCGAGCTTGAATGTCTATCTACGTTTGCATATAGCAATAGCACACATTCATTGGATGAAAGCGATGTGCATATTGTTTTGTTTGAAGGAACCAATCTGATCACATGAATAAGTCTGTGTGTGCGATTTCAGGTGAAATAGGCCTGAAGTCGAAGCTACATGTATTGTAGTCATATGTATTGTGGTTTTGGGACTTACTGAAACATACTGTCTAACTACAAAGCCGTCAGGGTCGGAACCCATTTTATGCTGACCTGCACAATGGACAATGTTTGGCATCAGCCCATATGTTGCCTTTATGCAGCAACACGAAAAATATGTGTAACAGATTGATTTGGGAACATCACATTATGTGTAACAAATTTTTAGTTGGAGCAACAGTGTCAATGCAAAGGAATGGAAACCTTGTCAAGGGTGGTTGTTAAAAGTGATAATAAACTTAATTCGCACGCATACAACAGAATCTAGTTGCCCACCCAGCACATGCAGTATCAATCGGAAATCATCGGCAAAGGTATTCATTCCACGTTAGACAAAAAAAAAAGTTGAGCGTTATATCTCTGATAAATGAACACGGTTATTATTTCAGAGCTGTCACAAGTAACAATACTTAAAACGGTACTGAGAATAAAAAATAAAAAAACTGCACAATTCGCACCCAAGTCGGATACTAACGACCCACGAAATTCACATAGTAGGGCTGTCTAACAACAGCCTCAGACAGGTGTCCACTTGCAAAAATCCACTTGCAGAAATCCACTTGCAGAAATCCACTTGCAGCACCGCAATGGATTTCGCGGTGGGGGAGCTCAGACCAGGGTACCGCAGCGGCTGCCACTCAGCAAGTCGGGTCTGTCAGTGAGAATGTCGACTCGATCATTCAGGTTCTCAGTGGCCAGAGGCTCCTCCCATCGCTCAACTGTAGGGTGTTGCCCAGCGCGATTCTCTCTTTAAAATAGGCAACATTACTCAAACAAATATTGAAAGCAGGAAAGAAAGAAAAAAATTTAGTTTGTCATCGATTTTCGAACTGAAGTCGCACAACAACAACGCATTATGTTGCACACCAACAGCATACACGCGCCTCGAGAAATCAACGCAGTAGGGCTCTCTAACAACCGGCCCAAATAGCGACAAGATTTTTTTGCAAAAAAAAGCAAAATTATGACTTTTTCACAGCAGTAACGTCAATAAGCAGTAACGCAATACGCTGAAAAGAAATGAAAAAAAAAATTGCTAAACGAAAATTCGAACTGACAACCTGCGGCACGATCGCTAACTGTGGGTCAAGCCACTACGCCACCAGTACAACGACGTAGCAGCGTTTAAAACGACTACAAATTTACAACATTGGGCCCCCTCATTTTTACCATTTCCCTGCAATGACGTGCCCTCTCAATGTAGTCATTGCTTTACGGTGACGGGGCCTATCACTACAGCTGCATTGCTATTATGACAGGCCCCCCTCACTGCTACAATTTCACTACGCTAACGGGTCCCCTCACTTTAACGATTGTGCTGCATTGATGGGCCGCGTCGCCATAGTCACTGCCTAAGAATAATGATTTTTGGCAGTCTCTCACAATTGGCCGCATTGAGGTATGAGTGTACAAATATTTTCGGTCTACGTGAAGGCTGACTTCTACTCTGCGATGACCTACCTCAACCAATGCTCCTCCCAGAGCCGGCACTCGCTTTGAAGCATGCCTGCTGCTTCGTGCCGGGGTGCCCGTGCCATGGCTGCTTCCAGGGCTGCCTGCGCCTGCTCAAAGCAGCCCTGCTGCTCCAGGGCCAAAGCCAAGGAGGTCTCGGGGTGGCGTGCTCGCCGCTGCCACAGGCCGCCCAGGAGATCCTCCTCACGCAGCAGGGAGTACAGCTCGGCCAGGGCATCCTCAGCCGCAGAGCCGGCCTCCTCGGCCGCACCTCGCACTACGCTGCTGCACGAAGCACTGCTGCCTCCGCGCCCAATCAAGGCTGCCTGCTCCAGGAGCAGACAGGCACGATGCCACAGGTTGTGCGAGCGGCCCAAGTACTGTACACAGGAAGAAGGCAAAATTAGCAGGAGAAATTACAGTGGAACCCTCCTCAATTATACAGACGCCATATAATCCAAGAATTGAAAGTAGAGGCAGCAATACTCAGCCTTGCACAAAAAAGAGGCACAGACTGCCTGAATAAGCACAAGACATGGCCTTTTGCTTTTCCAATAAAGGTATATCGAATTATTTTTGCTATTGGCAGCATTACTGAGTTCACGCAGGTTCGAGCAAACCTTCATTCTCTATTTTGAAAAAATCATTCCAACGTACATCATTCTCCCAATAAATTGAGTCTGAAAATTGCTTGCGCATGAAAACGAAATCAAATCTGCTTTGCCAACAGCCTCCCGTCAGAAGCGTTGAGCACAGCATTATTGCCATCAATGGCGACGGATCATGAGTTGACGAGTTTGTGTAGAATGTCTTTTGCGTGACTTAGCTGTGTGCGTTGTAATTTGTGGCCTTATGACGTGCAATTAGTGATGCCCCATTTTATTAAGGACAATATTGTTTCTTAGAATATTTAAACGCACAAATTTTGGTCTGTGTCTGTCACACAATTCAGCCACCTGGCCATGTTTCAGAACTTTCTGAACGGCCAGCAATCTTGCACTGGTGACTGCATTCATACTTGCGAACATCGTCGATCATAAAGCAAGTACTACACATATCTGAGGCAAAAAATCGATATGTAAGTACCGTATTTACTCGCATAATCCTCGCACTTGCATAATTCTCGCACCCCCCACATCGCCCAAGAAAAATACGAGAAAATTTTTTCCTCGAGTAATTACCGCACCCACGAAAACTGCCGCAATAATGTCGTCTGCTCGTTCCAACCACTGATGATAGCGCGCGCCATTTCTTAAGCATCAAGCGTACTATTGCACGGAGATTCCATCCAATCCAAGCCAAGCCGAAGTAGCCAGTGCGCGTTGCGCCGTGTTTTGTATGTTGTGTCGGTTATCTTGGCACGTTATGGGGCGATACTGGAGCCACACGGCTGCTTCAAGTTGCAAGTGATAGATCATACGCTAAACAACGGCAACAAGGCCGCCGGTAGGCCCTTCGGAGCCTACGAGTTTTGTGTTCGCTACTGGTGACGGCAGCTGAAATCCACCAAGACGCGTTGGGCCTGCCGTGCGCCTAAAACTGGGATTGATGGTAAACTTCATTTCTTCTGAAGGAAACTGCGGAGGATTCTGTTAAATAGTCATCAGCCCAATACTGACGCCCTACGCTTACCTTTTGAGGGCTCCTGTTGAGCGCCGACCGCTACCGCTATGCCCGCAACGCCCACAAGCTTTGCGTATGGTATTCTAATTCTCGACTATTTGCTTCCACTTGTCTCAAATAGATCTTACCTTGTGTTGAACCCCTGCTTTTATTGTTGAGGTAAGTTCTAATTAGTACTTTGTAAAGCTTGCTGTAAGCGGCTGGTATGAGAATCCCGATTTGCGGCTGCTTCGTTTTTTTTCCCTCTCTGCGTTTTCGTGAAAAGTTTTTCCCGCGTAATTCTCGCACCCCCCAACTTTGCATCAGGTTTCCGGCAAAAAAATGCGAGGATTATGCGAGTAAATACGGTATTATGTAGTGTGGTACTTTAATAGAAAATATATAGATACCCAACTCTTGATGATGATGTGCGATGTTTTTTGGCGCAAGGGCCATTTGATGGCCAAAGAGCGCCAGACCATAGAACAAGATGTGAAAAATGAATGTGTTGGGTGGCTGTATAAGAGCCTTAAAATTCCTCGCGCTAAGGCGGGTAAAATATAGAAGTAATCAAATTATGACAGTGACATGAAATGTATAGTGAGAATGAATGGTGAAAGGTTCTGATAATAAAGCACGATGGAGATATTTGGCACTAGCACAAGTGCCCAATCTGTGCCCTTGTGTCGAAGGGGTGCGAAGTAGGTGCTTTTGAATAAAACCAGCCACAGCAGCAACCTCAAGACACTCTTGAGAGGTTACGCTACGCGATGCGTTGGTATATTACATTAAAAGTGCAGATATTTCTTAAAAACGCCAACCCAGATTTATGACTGAAAAGTGGTTCTCTACCGACAAACATAGCCAGGTGAAGTGGTATCTATTGATGATTGATGTGTGGCGCTTTATGGTGCAAGGGCCAATTGATGGCCAAAGAGCACCATTTCAATGAGTAGAGATGTGGACAATGATATGTTGCGTGGCTGTATAGGGGCCTTAAAATTCCTCGCGATAATGCGGGCAAAAACATAAGTATTAAAATCATGACAGTGGCGTGATATGCATAGTAAAAAAGGGTGACAAAGGTTTTCATAATAAAAATGTGTAAAAATATTTCGCACTAGCACAAGTGCCTCATCAGCGCCCTTGTGTCCAAGGGCTGCGAGGCAAGTGCTTTTAAATGTAGTCTATGCAGCAGCAACTTCTCTTAAGAGGTTGCGCTACGCATTGCCTGGGTATATGACATGATAAAAGCGAACATCTCTTAAAAAAGCTAGCAGCGATTTATGAGTGAACAGTTGTTCCCTACCGACGAACATTGCAGGGTGTAAAGGTATATGTAGTCGGTAGGGTAATGAAAAGTGTTGTTTTCTTAGAGTGTCTAGTTGTTTGCACTGGATTAAAATGTGAAGAACTGTTAGTGCTTTACCACATCTGTCACACAATGGTAGATCGCCACCAAACAAAAGATGTGAGTGTGTCGTGTATGTGTGTCCTATCCTGAGCCTCGTTAGTGTTACCTCTGTGTGACGTGATTTTGATACTGGCGGCCAATGGCCAAGGTGTGGCTTAATAACATGTAGTTTGTTTTGCGTGTGTCTATACCACTTGCTCTGCCAGTAGCGCCTGGCTTAAGATCAAGGGCTGGGATTGATATGGGTGTAGTGGCAGTGCTTTCGTGGACGGATGCAGCAAGCTGATCCGCCATCACGTTGCCTCGGATCTCACGGTGCTCTGGCACCCAGCACACTACAACATGTTTGATGTGTGTAGAGTGTGCATAAAATAAAGTGAGACGAGGACAGTTTCTTTTTTTTTCGTTTTTTAAGAGTTTGCAGAGCTTTTACCACACTGAGTCAGTGCAGCAGCAACCTCTCTTGAGAGGTCACGCTACGCAATGCCTGGGTATATTACATGGTAAAAACCGACATCTTTTAAAAAAGCTAGCAATGATTTATGGGTGAAAAGTGGTTCCCTACTGACAAACATTGTGGGGTGTAATGGTATATGTTGTTGGTAGGGTAATGGAAAGTGTTGTCTTCTTAGAGTGTCTAATTGTTTACATAGGATTAAAACGTGAAGAACTGTTAATGCCTTACCACATTTGTCACACAATGGTGGATCGCCATCGGACAAAAGATGTGTGTGTGTCGTGTATGTGTGTCCTATCCTGAGTCTTGTTAGTGTTACCTCTGTTAGACGTGATTTTGATACTGGTGGCCAATGGCCAAGGTGTGGCTTGATAACGTGTAGCTTGTTTTGTGTGTGTCTATCCCACTTGCTCTGCCAGTATACCCCAAGGTTTCGTTTGAGAGACGGCTTAAGATCAAGGGGCGGGATCGATATGGGTGTAGTGGCACTGATTTCGTGGACGGGTGCAGCAAGCTGATCCACCATCACGTTGCCTTGAATCTCATAGTGCCCTGGCACCCAGCACACTACAACATGTTGGTTGAGTGTGTAGAGTGTGCATAAAATGGAGTAGAGTGAGACGAGGACAGGGTTTTTTTGTTTTTTAAGACCATGCAGAGCCGTTACCACACTGAGGGAGTCTGTATAAATTACTGCTTTTTGTATTTGTAATTGTTTAATGTGTTTAGCGGCCGTAAGTATCGCATAAGCTTCCACTGTGAATATACTTGTATCTGGATGTAGAGAGCCAGCATCCGAAAAGGATGGCCCGACAGCAGCGTAGGACACAGAGGAGTTAGTTTTGGAGGCATCTGTGAAGAACTCAGGACGTGTGTATTTGTGTTGAAGTTCCAAAAAGTATGTTCGGATACGGGCAATAGGTGCATGTTTTGTAACTTCTAGAAAAGACACATCGCAATCCAGAATTTGCCACTGCCACCGTGGCAGGTATGCTGCACGAGCCATTAAGCTGTCTTCAAGTGACACACCAGTCAGGTGAACTGAATAGGGTTGCATTACCGTAGGTCTGTTTTGAAACAGAGCGGAGCTCGACAAATCATTAATAGTGGAATATGAGGGGTGCTTCTAGTCTGTGTTCACCTTGATATATACAAAAGATTTGTAAGTTCTCTGCAAGTTAAGCGACCACTCATTTGACTCGACGTAGAGGCTTTCTACGGGGCTGGTGTGAAAAGCACTCATAGAAAGGCGGATGTCCAAATGATGGGCAGGGTCAAGCATTTGCAAGGCACTTGGTGCTGCAGACTGATATATGATCACCCTATAGTCAAGGCGTATGCATATAAGGTTTCTATCAAGATTCATCAGGCATTTTCTATCACTGCCCCATGATGTCTGCGATAAAACCTTGATGACATTCATTGCTTTCAGGCACTTGTTTTTGAGATGTTTAATGTGAGGGATGAATGTTAGTTTTTTGTCTAAAATAATGCCTAAAAAATTTTTCCCCAGACTTCACTGGTAGCCTCTGACAGTGCAGGCCAATATCCGGGTCTGTTTGGAGACCTCTATTTCTTGATAATAAGACGCAGGTGCTCTTTTGTGGGTTAACAGAGAAACCGATCTTCTCAGCCCACTTAGTTACCTTAATCAAACTAAGTTGAACCTGCTGCTTGCACATTGTGAGGTTGCATGATTCGTAGACTATGTGCACGTCGTCGACATATATGCAATAAAACATGCTTCGTTGAATACAGGTATGTAAGGTATTCATTTCTATAATAAAATGTGTGCAAGTCAGCACACCACCTTGCGGCACTCTCATTTCCTATACAAGAGCTCGAACCAAAACATTCTCCACTCGAACACAGAAAGTGTGATTGGACAGATAACTTTGAATTACGAT